ACACATATAACAGACCAAAAATCAAATAAGACAAAGCGTATCAACAACTGTGCTGCAATTACAACAAAAAAAGTCAAAAGACTATGTTGTTGCTATTAATAGTGACTCAGATGTTGAAGAAAATGACGTTTTAGATGTAGGTGTATTATAGGTGTATTGTTTGCAGGCGTCACAATGTAAAAGACATTGACAAATTGCCATATTTCACCATCGTTAACTGGGGTGTTGTGACAGGTGCGATGGGTGGGTACATCTGAGGTTTTGCAGTCCAGTAAGAGTGCGAAGAAGGAATGACACTTTTCTGTGCCCTACTTGCTCTAATGAACAATAGATAAATATTTATAAGAATTGTTCTACATTATTTGGAATACTTGAACTGATAGTAATTTACTAATATACAGTATTTAAAACTTTTTCGACCACCCTTAACCTTAATTTCCTCGACCAATGAAAATCGTTGAAAATATAATACGTCATTTCTCCCAGAAACAAAAATGGCTGCCCATATAAGAATAGTGTAAAAAGGTTAATCGCTATGTTTTTGTATTGAAATTTTCATATTATAAAGGAAAAATGTAATTTTAGTTAGTGGTAATATAGAATATGCATTTATTTCACTTTTACATTTTTCCCGACACGAAATGTCCTTACACCATTGAAAAAATAAGAAGCCAGGATAAATGGCGGCCATTTTTTCTTTCGACTCGAAATATTTCCTGTGATAATAGATACAAAAAATGTAACACGAAAGGATTTCTGACCCTTAAACATCTATCAAAAAATCCCTAAGAATCACATCTAAACTTAACTACATTTTTTTCCTAGACTTGTCAAATTCAAAAGTTCACGATAATTTTAATCAAAGAAAAGTCAAATCAACAATCAAACACATGCTACACAAACATGCGTATTACTTTTTGAAGGAAACAATTTGTTCACTTATTAAATATCAATCTGGCAAAATGAAGTAAATATTTACAGGCCTTTAAAGAAAATTGTCTAGTCTGTTTGTTATGTTGACTGTACATGTATAATATGACGTGGCCATCAATGATGTCATTTGCAATATAAATTATGACGTCACTTCATTTAGTTGTTGCTTAACTATTCGCTATCTAATTTATTGGCGTCCGCGCCGACGCGCGGCGCCCTTTATGGAATGAAATCAGATTTTGTGAAAGGGCGACAGCAACTTCTCGAGCCTTTTAGTCAGTCATGATAAAAGCCGATCATTCCGAGTGGTATGAGGGTGCTTGATTACCATTTAAAAATGAAATGTCCCGATATGTACAATGAATAGCGAACTGGAGAATTTCGCAATGCAAACATTTTCAAATGAAATAACCTTTTCCGTCAATAATTAGCGCTCTTCGGCGTTTTTTTATTTATCATTTTGTAGTACACAGTTGGTTATTATGGTATGTTATTGTTTTACATGTATCCGAAAGCTGTAGTGGATGACCTAAACATTCCGAAAATCTATTTATAGAGGGATGTACTCCTATCGGTAATCCCCGGTCTCTCCCGGTCTATTTTGACCAGGATTTACTAGTGATATCACACGTTTATTGTCCGGTCTCTACCGGGTTTGGAGTAGATGTTTGATATTGTTACAGAACAGAACAAAAATTTTACAGATAAATAAGTTTTTTTTCCAAAATGAATGTTTGTCACTTAGTTTGGTTACAATAATTTATAAACACAAGTCAACTCTCAAATTTATTTATTATTATTATACATAAACATACAAAAAAAACCCAATAACAACAATTAACAATAACATGGTTCATTTTATCTATATGAGATAAAAACAATAAATATGTACAATAATTGAGAAAAAAGGTACATTTTTATGGTTTTAATATGACACTATCAACTTTCAAACATTTTATTTAATTTGTTATTCGTGTTTAGTAAAGATGCCGAGGAATTATTCAAAGTTACAAATTAGATTTTATGAATTATTCAATTGATTGATAATTTAAAAAATGATAAAGAAAAGTACAAATGTACATGTACATGGTTTAAGAATAAGCAATATTATATATTGAAAGATTAACCATAATTTACTGACTTTTTCCAGATAAGTTTTGACTTATAATCGTCGGTCAATATGACAATTGAATTCTTAAAATTTATTTTACAATTTTAATAAAAAAAAGAGTAGTATTAAAATAGCACATGAAACACAAAAAAGAAAAGAAAACAATATTCATAAAATCTTTAATTTTTTTTATTAAAATAGATATTACAATTATTGTATAATAAACAATTATGCTCAACATGATCAACATGGTAATATAACCAGTGTTATATGAACAGATATCTTAAGAGGGGTTCTTCTCTAATAGCGATAACATAATAATTACACAAGTGTGGTGTTGATCATGCGTTACACATATGGATTATAAATGATTGTATACATGTATATCCGTTGCTATTAATAATCACGATCATAAAGAAATAACAAGTAATATTCTAAATCTCTAGCATGCCAATCAAAGTTCATAATGAACAATATGTCTTTCGTCCGTTCATTCATAAGTGATAAAAACCAATTAACCATTGAAAAGATTATAAGAATATCTTGTCATCATATGTCTACTAGTTCATCTTCACCTGCTGCATTTCTTGCTTGGACGCCCTTTGATGCTTTGCATCAATGCTTTTCTTGTTCGTAACTGAAATGCAAATAGAAATAATTAATAAATATCGTATATTGATTCAAGAAATTCACATGTTTATAAAAATGAGAATATAAGCAATTGAAAAAGTCCGTTCAAATGGGCGGGGCTTATTTTTGATATCAGGTTAATGACCTTATTTAAAAAATAATTATTAGGAAAGTGTTGTCGGGCGGTTACCATAGTAGTTGCACGATAAAATGCAATAGCAAGCCTATCAATGTCCAACTCACCGCAGCGTCAGTTCGGTAACAAAGCGCGGAGTGTTGATGTGTAGAAGTTTTGCAAAATCCGGCAGTTGCAAATGTGAATGTGACATTAATAATTTGAGATTTCTAGCAAGTGGCTTTGATAACGACAAACAGAGTACACTACACGACCTTGCTCGAAAAAAAAAGCGGGTGAGCTATATAGTTTTAGCGTTATCCCAAAAGCAATACAATTTTATACAGATTGAGATAGAAAAAGCAGAACCCAAAATGATAAAATATAATAACCTAATAATTAGAAAACTAAACTATCTCATCTCTTAAGATTAACGAAACCTGCTACCATCTTCAACAGTGACAGAATAGGTCACCATTAACGAGATATCCACCTCACATTACTTAGTGCTCCTAAGAAGTATCTTTGCAAAGCTAATTTAACTTGGGAAATTTGTGCATGAATTAAGCCTGATTTCAACTTCAAATGTTTCAAAGGATTTCGATATCATATTGAAAAAACACAGATGTTCAAGGTTGCTATATACTGTTGGCAAACTAGCAGTTAAAGTGCAAACCATTAATCTTTATTATGTCCAAATGAGATATGCACACGCACTATTATTATACATTGTCACTGATACCCATGCATCAAAGTGATCATCTCTTAATGTGTCACAATTTATTTTTGAACAGCGATGTATAGACTGTCTGCGTTAAATAACTGTCAAAAAATCCAAATGAACAGATAAAGTACATTGTAAATAAGATACGATTTGTCACCTAACATAAGGCGTTGTATTTAATGAATGTAATAAATATGTTTATGTGACATGTTTCTTCTTTATGTTCTTTTTTGTCTTTTTTTCTAAGTAATTGCTTCCAATTAAAGATAAGAAAGTGTGCATTTTTTTTTCATAAATGAGTACATTTGTACACATTTCAAAAAAAGTAAAACAATCAGAACCTTTTTTTTATTTGCTACAGAATAAATAATGTTTATAGAAAAGAACAAACTTATTTTGCTTTATTTATTTGCAATTATTTACAAATAATGGCTTCATACTAATGGTATCGATAACATTTGAAAGGATAGATGTCAGCCAAAGTCACGTCTATGACAACAAATTAGTAAATGAACTAAAAACTGAGAAAAGAGGATGAATGGACTTTTAATATAAGTTGTGATGGATATAATAAAAAATACCATTAAAATAATAGCAGTATTGTCTTTGATATCAGAGGAACAATTTGAACAATTTTTACGAAAATGCTCTCTACCAGCTATAACACAAATGAAAGGTCATTTCTGAGTAGACGCATGATGCTGATATGCTTAGCTCAAGTTTGTAACTAGGCTATACAAAATAAACTCCATGAAAATAATGGAATAAAACCATATAATTATATAATTCTGATGCATCCTGGGAAGTTGGGATTGATTTTAGTCAAATGAGGAAATGTCAGTACAAGAACTACTGATAACAAAATGAAAATAATAATAGTAATAATAAGCAGCAAAATGTCCCTAATTTGGGAAATATATACCAACATATTACGAATCATTTCCCTTCATGAAATATTCTAAAAGGAGTTTGGCCATATATATGCACTTGATAGTGATCAAACGACGTGGGCAGTTTCAGAAAATCACATACTCGGTTCAACCGAGTTCGTTCATGAAATACTGTATAATATCTCTCATTTCCCAAGCACTGACCCAAGTACAAGTCTGTTTTGAAGCTCACCTAAACAACCTCTGCACTGCGTATCAAGTATAAACAGTCCTTAGTGCCGAAGATGTCCCAATATGCATGCTGTTTCCACTTCCAATCTAAATATGCTACTTTTTTTTAAAGGAAAGGAAAATGAAAACTTAAATTTTGGAAGACACGGCAAAAGTCTAATTTGAAATAATATTGCACAGTGTAGTGTATATACTAACTGTAATCAATGAAAATATTGTCACATATGTAATTGAGTTAGCCGATGACAAGGTATCAAAAAATGTTTGCTTATTGGATAAATGTTTAAACATAGGGAATTTCCTGAACTGCGATTTTACTATTGTCCATTTAGATATCAATAAACACTTTGAGCGCAACAGGCAAAGATGTGGTTAACTGATAAATGGTATAACTTGATCGTTTTTCATTTACTTTTAAATCCGTTTTGTTTCTGTCAAACTAAACTTGATGTTCATTATTGTGGTTTTGAACAAAGTTGTAAGCAAAATAAATCCGATGTTGAATTGAAAACCAATTCGTGTTGTTTGCCTTGTGAATGCACGGATATTTGTGAAGAAAAGGACACGTGCTGTCATGACAAAGTGGGGAGAGATGATACAAGGAATGTTATTCCTCAAGAATGCATACGTGCTTTATATTTACCAGATGGTATTTGGAATGATCAAAATTATGATTATGGTGTCCAGTCGTACCTTGTTAGAAGCCGATGTCCTGTCTCGTTCAAAGACAATCATATAAAAGATAAATGTGAAAATCTTTATCCTAAATCCATGCAAGAGCTTGTGTTTGTGTCGTCGAAGGATGGAAAAATCATATATAAAAATGAATTTTGTGCATTATGTCATCAAGATAGCGGTGTGATTAGCTGGACGATAAACGCATTTAAAATCAAGAGGTGTCGGATGCTGATGTCAAAGGAACATTTAAATTTTGCATCAGCTACAGAGTTCATACTGGATAATTGTGCCGTGTCATTCCAACAACCAAGTAATGTAGACTTACAAAGTGTTATTTGTTTTAATGAAAATATGATCAGCAAATGCAATGAAACGGGGAAGTGGGATGTTTTTGATAGCTATTTAGAGCGTATGTGCTTCAATCCAGCAGGTAAAAAGATCAATGTTTCCATTTTTACTTTAAATGTAAAATGTATTTAACAAATAATACATGGCCTTGAGGGCAATATGCAAGTTTACGGACTGATTGGTCAGACTTTGGAAGGTATATGGCCCGAAGCGCAGCTGAGGGACATATACCTTCCGAAGTCTGACCAACCAGTCCGTAAACTTGCATTTTGTCCAAAAGGCCATGTTTTACTTGTTATATTAAACGTAATCTAAATCCTTTCATCCCTTTTGTTGCTGATATTTTTACTATAATTTACTTTAAATAATAATTTACTTGTTCAGTGTGTGAATTTTCAAACCCTAATCGGAATTATTATTATTATTATTTTCAAGCGATACAGAAAACAAATCATGTCCTTCCTCAAATCAAACCCGAAATTTAAGATTTAATATGACGTCATCCAGTCCATATAAGAATTATGGACCGCCGCCGGTCTGTATGCGGTTTATGGACCGGATGACTTCATATTAAATATAGAAGAGCGTATGCAAATGAGGTAGAATATTTCAGTTTAAAAATAAAATTAATCATTAAAGTGAACTGGTCTATAATGAAATGTTTGCATGGCAATAAATAATTATGTTAATATTGTTTAGTATCAGGCATAACAACAAACCAAGAAATGTATGTTTTTGGCAAGTGTTATATACATGATCTGATATCGTTCATATTCATACAGCAGATAATAAATTATTCTAGAGCAAAATATTATTTTGCATTGTATAAATGTTCATATTAAATCACTTTGAACTTTATCAACACTTTTTTCAAGCAATATTTCATTAGACGTTTCAGTTGACACATGTTTATTGTTTTTACCAATATTTCAAATACTTATGGAAAATGTGTTCATTATAGACCAATCAACTTGATGCTTTATCCTGTTTTCTCGTATCATCGTGAGGATAAAGACTAAGCTGGCATTGACTTGACATATCATTTCTTTATAGTATTTTTGCCCTATAAAAATCCCTTTTAACATTATGAACAAGGTAGTAGTTTGACTTCTATTCAAAATATTAATTCACTATTTATATTCTAATTGCCAAAAATTATATATAAAAGATGGTTCAGGTAAATGGCAAATGAGTAAGTTCTTCGATACTATAATAGTACAACAGAATTAAAAAGCTTTTGAAAAATGAAACTAAAATCTTTTCTGAGGCATAATAGGCTCTTTACGTATGCCACCATAGTACGAGATACTGTGATAATTTGTAAAGACACATAGGTGTGCATTATAGCATTGTCAGAACTAGTTAAATAACATATTAAAGTGATAAGTAAATCATTATTGCTGCTAGAATGCAATCTTTATCTAAATCGTAACATTTATTTAAATATTATTTAACTAACTAATTCTCTTTCCCCTATACATGATTTTGTTCCGCCTATTCAGAGATTGTCTAGCCTGTTTTTTATGTAATTAGATACAAAAAATAGTACTTAAAGAAAAAAAAGAACAATAGTGTCTCACTTTTGGAAAATGGCGTTTCTTTAAAATGTATGATATTGAAGCATTATTCACGAGTTGTTGATAAAAACTTTAATCACTGCTGTCATCCTTGACTAATATACATTTGTTGTGTGGTATTACATTTATTAAGATTTATTCATCCGAATAATATAAGATAATGTCAATTTGTTTTTTTTTATCTCAAATATATCTACATGTACTCTCATTATGCTATTTATTTCCTTCAGAATCAGCATATTATGTCTCCACTGCAGTATACAGGAACTTGTATTGCTACCTATGCAACGTTGAAACAAACACTCTATCTGAAACATGTAATAGAACAAGCTATTCCAGAGATCCATTTGAATCTTCGTTTAGGTTAACCAATCTTTTACAGTCTCCACCACAGCATTCATATGTAGACAATGCATGTAAAACAGACGAAATTTATGATGCCTTTTTAGTAAGTCATATTATCATTGTATTCTCTAGATAGCTGATTTGTAATATTATTGTTATGCAAATAGATGCCTTCAGCTATGTGCTGTTTTACACAGCGTTTATTTGCACTGTAAGATGTAAGGTTTTTTATTGGCTACATACATTGATTGTTATTATGACTGATTAATTTCAACAAATATCTGCAAGATTAAATTAAATGTAAATTATACTTGGCTTATTTTTCCATTTACAACTATTAAACAATTTTGTTTAAAATTATTTCACATCATTGTTTTTGGTGAAATTATCAAAATTATTTTAATTGTTTAATTACAGGGCCGTTGCAAAACATTATATTGTCCGACTTATTCTTTATCCGTCAATGGTCAATGTATACCATTTATAAATGCAGGCCAAAGCTATCGATTGGTATTAAAATTGGTGCCAAAGGGAATTGTGTTTAAGTCAGAATCTCTAAATAAGGCATTGAGTTATCAACTTCCAGTGATTCTACACCAGCTTGGATTTGGACACTGTGAACTATGTCATGGGATTCTTTACGTAGAGGACAACATCGATACAGATTATTTAGAGGAAATAGATATACAACTCGCTTTAGGTCAGACAGAGAAGTGTACAGTTGATAGTATTTGGTCAAAGGTCACTCTGATTGAGAGAAATAAAACCACTGTTAAATTGATTCTAGACGAAAGGAAGTTTCTCTTTAACGCTCTCTGGGACTATAATGATTTGATACCAAGGTCAAAAATCAAGTATACATTTGGTAAAACAAGGCATATAAATGAATGTCGACCAGTGTACACAGGATGTCCCAAGATTCTACTGACAATGAGAGAGTACAAAGAAGTCCTTGATAATCATCCCAACGTCAATGATTTATTGTTTAAACAACATACGGATGGCGGAAACGGGACGGTTTTTGTCTGCATACAAAGCTATATTTCGGACCTTCGATCGGCAGTAGTGCAGTCAACAGTTTCTTTACCTCATATAATAACTGCAACAATTTTACTTCACCAGTTTACATAAAGAAAAGACCTGTCTTATAACTATGAACAAGAATTGGCGCGAAATTGACGATTTATGCCATTTAAAGATTGTTTCTTTTTAAAAGTTCAGATTACCTAATCAGTCAGGTACTTTAGTGTTACTCTCAGAAAATAATGATATTTTCTTGAATGTTCTTTTTGACAACAACTCACATATCATGGAGACATAGGTTTCATTTTTTTCTGTTGTGTACTTTCATACATCTATGTATAAACGTTTTGGAGAAATGAAATGTCATGCAGCGTTATGTCATTATTTACAGATGTATCATTTCTTATCATTTTGTATGACTGAAGCATTATCACAACAAACGTGATACGATACTGTTTAAATGAGATAACTTATCAATTTGTTAACATATCAAGGACCAAAAGCAGTACTCAGACGAAAAAAAACCCTTTTAATATAAAGAAGAAAACGAAAAATAATAAATTTATGTAAACTTACTACCCATTTTTTGCATTTACCGTTACACCAAATTCGGATGTAAAGTCAACCCTACTTAGGACTTGCTAAATTTGGTATGCACACTCTCTTGCATACGGATACTTTCTTGTTTTACTTTATCAAAACACAATCTGATAATTATTTGTTTCCATTCCTCTTTTGCTTGACTATTTAAAGTGGCATTCAGCTTTTCTTAAATTTAAATATACATTTGTATTATTCTTAGATTAAACGTTTCATATAATTGTCATTTGTATTATTCTTAAATTAAACGTTTCATATAATTGTCCCATCAAAATAATTAAGGTGGGAATTGAAGTTTGTCGACAATAAAATGAACCCCTCCCCCTGATACCTCTCATTTACAGGCCCACTCTCTATATTTAAATTAGTAAAGCGGACGATTACTTTCCCGCTCTTTTCTTTTTAAAAACGAACTTCACTTTTTTCCACCAGAAACTAAAAGCTGAAGACCACTTTAAGCAACTGCCTTTCAACTCTTCTAATTTGCGTCATACATCTTAAGTATTATATTCTATGGCTACATTTAAATTGACAGAAGTTAATCAGTATGTATCAAATTGGCAAAGAAAAACATATCAATGAATGCCAAACAGTAAACTAAAACTTCGTTTTAATTGTCCTGAGACTCAGCTTATGGTGTCTACATTCACAGGCTTTCGACGTGTGGCAAAAGTAAATCATAATCACAAAATTAATGCTTAATAATTTGCAATGTTATGTCCACAGAATTGAGATATATTCATTATATTGCTTTCGAGGACAAGACATTGCCAATCAAATGTTTAGACTTATTGGCGAGGCCAAGATTTCGCGAATTTCTACCCTCAGTTCTATTAGATTTATATAACTTTTTATAAATAATTTTGCGGACATTAAAGTTTGAATTATTAAAGTTTAACTTTATTAAAGTAGAACGATAAAACTTTTAGTTGAATTTGACCGTACATTAACTCTTTTTGATGCGAAAATCAGGACACACTCTTGTCATTATCATATCATTTTATTGTTTACAACTCGATTTGAACAGTATATAAATCAATTGTATGTTACAATATTGATAGAAGAATCTACAAACTATCAAATGTTTCATCAACAGACAAATACATTACATATACCGCAAAAAATTACTACCTTTTCCATTGGTGTTTTAGCCTCGTGTGTAGCATTTGAAAGGTGATTATAAAATCCATGACAAAAGTGGCATTATGCTCATTTTTGCCGTATTAAAGCTGAGTTAGCTTTAAATATAAAAGGTCTACTAATATAACGGGTATTGAAGAACAAGTGATTAGGATAAAAAAGATTAAAGTGCAAGATCATCGACATACTGACTACGAAAGGCTTTGTGTGAAAATTAACTTGACTAGTCAATAACTGTTATGTATGTTCAGGTTCCTGGTTACGTTGACTTTGTCCAAAATATTCAGTGTATAATTAGATATGTTTTAATTATAAAAGCAAGAAAGCCTTTGAAATATATGTAAAACTGATATGTGGTTATAGTCACCATTGCATATTGTTTCTTTTAATTGTTTGTGCTCACGTGCATGCAAAAGAGTCAAATTAATAAAAGATTAATTTTAAATCTTAGTAAATTCCTCAGAAAAACAAACGTCTTCGTACAATTACTATGAAAGATTTCATTTTTGTCTTGACAATTATGTTTTAACGGTGATATTTTTTCAAGGGAGTGAAATGTGTTTGTCCCTCGTCAATTTATTTTGATGAATGTGTTTGGTATGACCATAATGAAAGTATAAATCGTAAAAAAGTATCTGCAAATTGTATTCATTGTATACAATGAAATGCCATGCTACGAGTGTACATTAATTGTTACAATGAATATAGAAGTAGAATGTCAAAAAACTTTAGTCAGAAATTTATAGAAACGGCAAAAACTATATTGATTAAAAATTCTGGAAACAGTTACATTACAAACTAAAGCCAAAAGAACGCAAAAATAAGGCATTACACTTTTTTTTAAAGAATGACGTTTTTTTAAGAATTCTACTTCTAAGTTATTTGGCAGTAAAAAATGATAACATATCTGAGAGTTAATCGTATAATTGTGAGATTCAATGTCAAGGTATAAAATACCTTGTACATGTTTATTGGCTAATTATAAACAAATAGAAACACCATCGCAACAGTGACATACCAGTTTTCCGATCAGATATAAAACTACGCTGTAAGAGCAACAAGCTAAAATGTGGCTCATTGATCAGTGTCAGAATTCGATTGTGTTTCTTTTACTTTGCCGTCTGGTTTCTCTCAAACCAAAATTGATTTTCACTTTTGTGGTTTTGAGCAAAGTTGTAAGCAAAACCAATCAAACAATGCGTTAAGAAACAAACTCTTGCTGTGTACCTTGTGAGTGTGTGGATGTTTGCAAAGAAAAGGAAATGTGCTGTCATGACAAAGAAGGGCGAGATGATATATGGAATGTCATTGCTCAAGAATGCATACCTGCTTTATATTTACCAGATGGTACTTTGGATCGTTATTTTAATGTTCAGTCATACTTTGTTAGAACTCGATGCCCTGCCATGTTTAAAGATAACCATATAAAAGATAAATGTGAAAATCTTAAGCCTAAATCATTGCAAGAACTCGTGTTTGTATCTTCTAAAGATGGAAAAATCATATATAAAAATGAATTTTGTGCACTTTGCCATCAGGAGAACAATGTTATAAGCTGGAAACTAAATGCATTTAAAAAAAATATGTGCTGGCAACTTATTTCGGAGAAACATTTAAATGTTGATTCAATTGCAGAGCTCATACTGAATAATTGTGCCGTTTCGTTCAAACAACCAAGTAATTTGGACCTACAAAGTGTACTTTGTTTTGATAAAAATGTTATCAGCAATTGTAATGATACAGGAAAATGGGATGTTTATAACATTAATATAGAACGACTTTGCTTAAACCCACCAGGTAAGGACTAGGCCCAGTCAAATTTCGTACTATAGTAAATCAGTCACATTTTAAGTTTAATTCTGGATTTCACTGTTCATGGTGAATTATATACTGTTTTCAACTTGAAACATCAACAATATCGGAGTCAATGACGGCTGAAATATAATATGTTAGCCATGTACTTTTTCATAAATCTTATTCTGTTTAACACTGATTAAATTGACCTTGCTGCCGGGTAATACATCTTTAATCATTCCGCCAAGAAATGAGGTGAAAGAGAATACACACAAAAAACTTTTTTAAGTCATCCTATAACACACCAAAACTACAATGATGCATTAAAACACTTTGAATATGAACAAATAATCTAGAGATGACTTAAATTCTTCTAGTTTACAACGGGTTGGGTTTAATTCTGTACCGGGGTGACACCGTATGCAATTTTTTTTAATACAAACCATATATCTAATATTTTATATTATTTACAACCAATAAAAAAATTGCACTTTGATACAGGAATGGAATATAGAGACAATAAAAGTCATGGCAATTCTTTGAAAATGTTGTTTCTTTTAATTGTATGCAAGTAAAGCAAGAGTTACACAAATTTTGAACAAGTAAAATAGTTTCCTGCGGTGGACATTTTAATGATAGAAAGATATTTCATTTAACTATTTTCAACATTATTTGGGGGAGGGGGATAAATAAACGTTTGTAACAGGAATATAGTTGACAATAATCGAACAATACAGAAGAAGGTCTTTTGAAACTGCATGTGACCGTTGAAGACCGGAGAATGTCGAACATAAAACAATTATTTCTTTTTAAGAAAATGATTAAATAGGCCTACCATTTTATGAATAATTCCGAGCAAAAAATAAATAAAGTAAACATACAAGTTTACGCAGAAAATATCTCTATTTATTATGGAAGATGCCACTACGAATATTTTAATTTTGTAGATTTTCAGTATAAACAATTTATTGTTTGTAAAATTTGAGATAGATATTAAAGAAACATTGATAATTTTCAAACACATCATTCAAGTTTTACCACCTTAAATGGCAAAATAATTATAGAAAATTAGAAATATCATGCAATAGATTTTTGTTCTCAATTATTGTGTAATTCGGACTTATTCCCTACAGGTAAATCCGTAACGAACCGGCAAACGGTATTTAGCTAGGTTTTCGAAAAGGTCAATTAACCAATAATATACGGTTTACAGATCACATGCTCCTCAATGTACCGAAAACAGGTCACGTGCTCCTCCATGCCTCAAAAGTTAAACGCGTACCAATACCCTACGGTCTCCAGACCGCAGGGAATAAAAATCTTATTTACTTTTTCTATCCTTAAAAATATTATATGTTTTCATTCAATCAAAATTTTAGGATTAGATTCTATATTAACCTGATGCCATCTTTCATTTATGTACACTTACTATATTTAATTTTGTATTGGTTTCCTTCAGAATCAGTTTATTATATCAACAATAGAGTATACAAAAATTTGTATTGCTACCTATGTAACACTGAAACAAATACAATGCCCGGGACATGCGACGACTTTAAAGCAAGAGAGCCAACAGGATCTACCGTCGCAATAATAAACCTGCTTCAGTGGACGCCGCAGCATATAACTGGAAGTAATAAATGTAAAGAAGACGAA